AAGTAAATGCAAAAATTAATAAAATTCACAATATTAAGCTAGAGATGGTAAAAAAAATATTAAGAAAAGAAACAATAACTTGTCAAAATTCAATCATAAAAGCACCCGAATCCAACCACAAAAAAATACCAATTCAGCTATGTTCGGGTTAGCAAAAATATCTCATTTTAAGTTTTTTTTATAAGAAAAACAAATTTAAAGTAACCCAAAGAAGCTAAAATCCAATAACACCTAGCAAAAACAAACTACCAAAAAATTATTCTCAAAACACTTGCTGCCCCCAGTAAGTGTGTTGACAATAATTTTTTTAAGCAAAAAAATTATAAAATAGAAATAGAAATCATCGACCGTACACTATGTAGTTATCAAAAAAAAGTTGTATTTCTACCACTTTAATCTTGTAGATGGATGGTCATTTAGCGTTTGAATCCATTTTTCTAAATAAAATTCACTCAGAGAACAGTCATCAATCATTCGACTAAAAACTATTGTACGAACCTCGCAAGGCGGGAGTTCGAAAACCACAATAAATATTTGACAATAATTTTTTTTAGTTCCACAATAGTTATTTTTGAAATAAAAAGCTTATGAAAGGTCAAGTTTTGAAATAATTTTAATCTTGTTGATGGATGACCACCGCAGCTTTTGAATCCATTCTCAAGAAACAAAATTCTTTTTCGGAAAAAATGATTTTTTTTATGATTAAAAAGAATTGCATTTTTACACACAAAGAAAGAAGGGGGAGGGAGAAGAATCTTATGATAATGATGATAGAAAAATGAGAGGATGAAAAGCTTCAAAAAAATAAAGGATTGGAAGTATTCTTCAAGTGGTCAAACCACCATCCCATACCATCCATACCACTTGTGCTTTACACCCCAAAATACTAAAAATCTTTTTTTTTTCTAATGAAAAAAATATTTTTCTTTTATTTTTGAAAAATTTTGAAGATTATCCATTTTCATCCCTGCCCACCTTTTCAAAAGATTTATTTCAGTTACTAAACTTTAAAAAAGACAACAATTCTAGCATTGTTTGATTCGTTAATTCATAGCTAACAGATTGATATATAACTTCAAATTAAAGAGAAGTTTAAATATTATTTTGATCTATATATTTTCGACTTTGATTCTGTCTATGTACCACTTTTGTTCACTTTAGTCAACATACTTTTCAAACGTCTATTTTGATCTCTGTACTTTTGAAAAGTAACCATTTTGGTCATTTCATTTTCATTTTTATCTCATATTTTTTCGATAATAATTTTAGCATGATACTATACTTACTAGATTTCTTGAAATGTAGCCATAAATTTGTCTTAGAGGATTTTCTGCGAGTTAATTTTAGAACCTTATTTTTTTGTCAAAAATATTCTTTCATCTATAATATATAGTAGGCTGTTGAAACTTACTTGTAAAGCATAATAGAAACAAAGCTGATTAAGAAACTGTAGTTGTTTTTTTGTCCATCTTTGGGAGACAGAGTCATTCCCACCGTCAATAAGATCGAGTAACGTATTAAATATTTATTGACATGTTGACATTTTCATATTTCCATAGATTCAACAAGACTATTGGGTCGACATTTTTATAGTTTAGTAAAAAAAAATCGACAAAATATAAAAAGAATATATATCAACAAAATATCACTCATATCGATATGATATCAATATTAATGATTTTTAACTCATTTTGAAATGGTAAAATAATTATGTGTTAATTTAAATATATATTTTTTAATAAAGTTGAAAATTTGACATTTCCAACTTACCACTAATTAGCAAAACTATCTTATTTTCCTAGTTAATAAATTTGCGAACATTATTTCCTCTTAATAAGTTTTTGAAACTAAAACTTTTTTTTAGTATGAAGAAAAATTCTAATTGGTGGATTTAAAGATAAAAATATATATATAAGTAGGAGGAGAAACTAAATTGACCAGAGTTGACTAAATTTTTTAGTAATTTATAGCTCGTTGGATAACGATATTATTTCTAATTTTCTAATTTTAAATATTAACCTCGTCATTTTTGTATTGTTTCTTACCTTCTTAAATATGTTTTTAAAATTTTAGTCAAATATTTAAAACAAAGATACTTTTTAATTAGAAAACTTTTTTTTTTTTAAGTTTTTGATATTCAGCTATAACTATTAAATCTTTTTTAAATAGAAAAAGAAGGGATTATCCAAACGAATTCTAGAGCTTTAAACCGATAAAATAAGTTATTTATGATATGCTTAATTTTTTTAGTTTCATTTTTAAACATCTTTCTATTCAACTTATTTTGCTATTATTTGTCCTCATAACACAATTTTCAAATAGGACTAATATATTTAAAACAAATAAAAAAAAATGGTGCAACTTATAATATTATTATTCCAACTACAAAATTAAGATTTTAAGGCTAAAAATAAAAGGAGGGAATTGCTTATCTTAGAGCACAAATGAGGTGTCCTAAAAGCTCAACAAAAAGTATTTAAATATATTTTWTTTTTCTTCTTTTTTTTTGGGTTGAGTCATAGGGTACCCTAAAGGACAACATAATCTCACTAGATTTCCTTAGGATATAGGGGAGTTGTAGGGCACATTCTAGCTTCCCTTGGAGTTTTAAATTTCACTTTTTGAGACTACTAGGTTGCCCTTATAAAATTTCATCAATTTATTTAAATTATTAATTGAATTTAATGCAAATAAGTCGAAATCGAGATTTTAAAGGTCGATGTTGATGGAAATGCTGAAGTTTCAAGGCAACATCGATAAAATATTGACGTTGATAGATGTTTCTAAAAATTTTGATAAAAATTATTTTAATTAGCAAAGAACTACTTTTACGCTTTTTAAATAAGTTTAGAATTCTTGTTAGTAGTACTACGTGTATTTTAATGATATTATCTTGATATTTTTTAATACTTCATTGATTTTTTTATGATATAGTGGAAATATGAACTTGTTGATGTATAAAAATATCGATGAAAATTTAATACTCGTGTTGAAATGATATGAGATTAAATGGTTCATTAATTCAATTAAAATTAAATTAGTTTGAACTAACTAGATTAAATCGTGTTGAACTAACTAGAGTCATTCCAATTTGACAAATTTAGAATTCAAACAATTCAACAACTAGATTCAAAACATCTTTGATCTTCATTGAAAATCCTATTTTGGAGCAAAATAAGAGAGATAGATTGTCAAGACTACCCTTCAAAAAAACTCTAAAAAAAGCAAGAAGAACATAAAAGTTATATGTCAGATTTATGCAACATGATGTTGAGAAATCGAGCCTACATTTGATATGTGAGTTTGCTGATTCGAATACAAACGACATAAATTTTTATGCCTGCTATTTGAACATAGACAATACATATCTAAATTTCTCGACTCCAAACTAGGCATTCTCAATCCCGTGAACCGTCGTCGCATCCCGAGAAATGAAATAACAAAACAAAAACAAAAGAAAATACCAAAACGAAAAGTGTTAAAAGAGCCTCCTTTGTCTTCATTACCAACTCAAACAAAACTTAAACTCTTAAAAGAAGACGACCAAAATGCCACGTGGCATAACTGGGCGTGGGCCCCACCTACGACATTGCCCTCCGTACATCACACTCACCCTTT